TCTCTCTCTCTCTCTCTCTCTCTCTCTCTCTCTCTCTCTCTCTCTCTCTCTCTCTCTCTCTCTTGCCGCGTACAACCCGACTCCCTAGCTAACTAGCATTCGTCTGGTGCGCCCGCTGTCCTGACGAGAAGCCACGTAGTAGCCAAGACCAAGCAATGAGCTCCAGTTGATTGTACGATCGATTGATCGGCGGGCAGACGGATGAACTGATTGATTGCTTCATCGATTTGATTAGACGACTTGTTTGGCTGATCGACCGGATGGTGCTCACCAACCAGCAGTAGTAACGTACATCCCACCAGCAACACGCGTATAGTGAGGGAGGATAGAGTGAGTGAGGCAGGCACGATAGGCGGCAAATTCGCCCAACTAGGGGGCTCCTTCCTTCATTAGCTGCTACCAAGCTCCCGCCCAATTACCGCCTCAAAGCTCCCCCCTTTCACACCATGCACTGGATTTCCCCACCCACCCGGTTATTCCACCTACGGTAGTCGGTTGGATGCACCATTCACTCTACTGCCGATCCCTTTCACACCTACGGAGATATCAAGGCTGTTCTTTGCGCGGGCCGTTTCTCACTGTACCGATCCCTTTCAGACCTACGGAGATATCAAGGCTGTTCTTTGCGCGGGCCATTTCTCACTGTACCGATCCCTTTCAGACCTACGGAGATATCAAGGCAGTTTTTTGTTTTGCGCGGGCCATTTCTCACTGCTCGTTTTCGTTTTTCGCCCGATGGAACTGTTTTGTCCTTTCCTTAGTGTCCACTTGCGCCACTGCGCGTTAGCATGAACTTTGCTCAAAATGTGACCAGATTCATGCTTAGTTGAAACAGGCGGCCTCCGACTGGCCGCGCTCGAATGGGTGGGGAAGAGAGGGAACAGGCGGCCGACGACCGGCCCCGCTCAGGTGGGAACAGTTCGCAGCCAGGAGGCTGCGCTATACCCGTACCCGTACCCGGTTGCATTTTTCGCGCGCAGCGGGTTTCCCGATCGGGAAATGTCGACGACCTTTTTGTTTGGGGTTTAGAGCTGTGTAGAGGGGGCGGGAATGTGGAGCAGAAGGGTGTGGTCGTTGTCGTAAGACCGACCGGCAGAGGCAAAAAGAGAGCGACCAGCGGTAGCCTGCAGAGGTTGTGCAGCAGTCGTTTTGGACGGCGCCCAGGGGTTTCTTCTTCAGGTGAAGTTTGAGTTCGAGAAATCGAGAAGTGTGGGGGGAAACGGGAAAGTGGGGGGCGTTTGGGAGGGCTGGAGGGTCAGCTGGTGGGGTTTCTTCTTCAGGCAAAGTTTGAGTTCGAGAAATCAAGAAAAGTGTGGACTCTGAGGGAAACGGGAAAGTGGGGGGCGTTTGGGAGGGGCGGAGGGTCAGCCGGTGGGGTCTCCAAAATGCACTCCAAGACCCCACGCCCTCCGGGATGCGCCTCCGTGCCGGTGCACAGTCTAAATAGTGCTGACCTTTCTTTTTTTTTTGGGGGGGGGGGCCGGGGACAAAAACTCCAGTCTATTTGTGGGGAGCAACACGTGCTGGGAACCGGGCCCAGCGTCCCATATAGAATTATACAAATATAGAATTATATTGTCTACCGCGTGGGCGCGGGGAACGCAGCCCTAAGGTAGCCAAATCAATGAGACTAAGAGCTAACACAAGAGAGAGAGAGAGAGAGAGAGAGAGAGAGAGAGAGAGAGGGAGAGAGAGAGAGAGTTTTGTT